AGCGCGCTACTGTATCAGTTACGTCATCGATTGAAATGTACATTCCGATTTCGCCGCGCGGCGTCCAAACTTTCGACGAAGATGGCGAGCAAAGATGAGGCAGACGCACGTATAACGTACAGATTTCTTCAATGTCGGGGAGGATCAACACATTTCGACTGACAGTCAACCATCGGGCTCTGCAGCGTCCACAAGCCAGCATGCTCCACCATATCCCGACATTGTACACTACTGTAACGTCGACGGAGAGAGCCATGCCAAGGACAGTACAAAACTGGCAAATTTTCATTGGTAGGTTTGACGATTAATTTCTGCAATTACTTATCTCAAGATTGGTTAAACTGAAGTTAAGAAAGTAATTCTTTCTGCACTTTTGAGCGCAATATGCATTTGACCTAACCTGCCGGGACATTCTTCTCACTCTGTTCCGATAGATGGCGTGCATACTGACTACCGTATATACTCGCGTAATAACCGCAAATTTGGCCTCAGCTTTCAACCCTGTATTTGCTCTGCGGTTTATAAGTGCGCCATACCGTGAGGGGAAATATACTAGGCGCAATACTTGGTTACCCGATTCAAATTGAGGTGCGGCTTATAGGCGCCCGTGGTTATTACGCGATCATATACGGTAGGTGTAGGGAATAGATAATCCGAACTAGTTGCTACAGGTGTTCGTTTAGCCCATGCTGTGATACTATCAGCCACCCACCTGCGAGGTAGGCCTATTTATAGTTGGCCTTAATCAAAAACAGACGTTTGCGTAAGTGCTATTGACATTGTATTCCCAATGTACAGAATCTCATATAGAGAATGAAGTTCATATATATGATTTAAGGTGCGTAAACGTTGTTCAAGTAAGTTTTGCATGCAGAATTTCACTGTGAAATTTAAGTCTTCCACGATCACACAAGTACCATCAAACACAGTTCAGTCCTTTGTTAACAGTCAACAAATCCATGTTTAAGCCTCCTCTTGAGGGTCAAAAGATTATCAGACACTTACTCTTCGCACGTCAGTGGAAAGCACATTTCATGGTCCTTTCAATAAAGTGATAAACATGGTAGGTCAGCGCTGAAACAAAAAAGTTTTCCACTCTGTCCATTAGGCCATGTCCTCCCAAACCTCCAATTTCGCACTGGTGATGGGTTTCCTGCCCATCACACTATACACCGAATATTAAGAGCATAGGTCGAGCCGTTCAGATTTGTGCCGTAATTCCGTATTTCCAGCTATACCTTAAGTTAAGGGAAAAATATTCCCCCTCCGTTGACACATCTTGACCTTTGACCCCCAAATTGGTCATCCCGAGTCCTTTTCACGATCCCCCCCGACGTCCGGAATATCGTGACCGTACGTCGAGCAGTTAAGATTTGTGCCCAACTGTTCACGGACACACGGACGCACAGACGGACGGACGCTCATGCGATTCTACAAGCTGCATCTGACTTCGTCAGATGAGCTAATAAATACAGACATCAGTGAATGTGTAAATAAGCGACATAAATATAAGTTGCCTGTTTCACACCTTTCTGTGTGAAGTGATACTGCACTCATAAACTCAATACTTATAGACAGAAAACCATACTTGCCATTTTGGAAGTGCAGCTTTTAAAACTTCATAGATAAGGGTGAGCTGCATCGAGTAAGTGACAATGCAGACATGCAGTCCTCCATCTAATGCAGCTGGCAGTAACCACCTAAAGCAAGGACGCACAAACTCTGCCAATCGAGCATGCCCTTGCCTCCAGGCACCACCTGTGTGTAGTGTGATCAGTGTTTTATCAAAGTCAAGAGCAATAACTTTGATTCCACGTGATATCAGTGCTGACACTAACTGTTTTGCCAAGTGCTTGTACGTGTTCTCTGGCACTTGACTTTCAGGGAAATTCTCAGGGGTATCATTCATTGCAACAGCAATGTTCCATCAGATCGTCACTCTGCAATGCAAATCACAATATCATTAAGCTTTTGTCATTCACAGTTCCCATCTTATTTGTATTTAATTTATACCCATAAATGCATGTTAGCACATGTCTGCGTAGATACAATAATCTAACCCAACAAGAGTAGGATTGTATACAGTATACAGTAATGTAACCCTACTCTTGTTGGGTTACATTATATTTATAGTATCTAATGTCTGCGTGAAGCTGATACTGGTGCTGTGCCAATCTGCGGTCCACACTGTAGGCCACAGGTGTCACTGTCAGTAACAGGACGACTTAAAATTAACAAAAAATTTCCATGTGATTACACAAGTCACAACATCTTGACAACACACAAGCACACACTCATGCACGTAGGTACATACGCACGCACGCACGTACACACAACATAATCATGAGACGTCTTTCCATCTTCATTATAGTCCCTTGGACTTTTGAAGGCTATTATTTATGAGGTTACGAAGGTACATAATATACACATACCGTTATACGCCGCCAACATTGGCCTATGCCTATGGCTATACAATACAATGCCAATGGCAGTGTGCTGTCCACAGCCACTTGGAACCTCTCAATAAAAAAAATTATGGTAAATAAACACAAAATGTATTTAATACCAAAGTATCAGTGTCTCTCTACTCTCTTTCACCTATTAGTATTATTGCTGATAACTGCCGGTAAATTAATTCCATTCATATGCACATCTGCAACACACGAGGACACCACACGCACGCCGCTGTGCACAAACTCCAAGAATAAAGAGCAGGTGCGAAAGAGTAATCGCAAAATTGGATCACGCTTTCCCAACTGCTCTTTATTCTTGTTGTTTGTGCCCAGTGTTAGCGGGGTGCGTGCGGTGTACTCACGTCACTCATGTGCTGCAGAGAAGCATATGAACAGCATTTACAGGAAGTTATCCGCAATAATAAGCAAAAGAGAGTAGAGAAACATTGAGACTTTGGTAGTAAATACATTTCGTGTTTATTTAGGGGTTGTTCACAATTATCAACATTTTCAAAAGCGTACAAAGCGTGCACTTTTTCGAGACCCCCCCCCTTCCCCCCTAAAAGTGTACGAAGAAAAACGTTGATTTTTTTCACACTATTTTACATAGAGATACATGTATACGAATTACATGCAAAACTG